CTTACGTAATATTACTTTCTCACTTACATATTTACTCCCCAAGATACTTAACAAAGAATTTCTTGTTCGCCTCCTCTGACTTAACAGGAGACAAAATGTATCAGCCATCAGAGTCCTGACTAAACAATGAGCCTCTGCTGGTCTTGGTGAAATCCTGCTTGCTGGAAGTAGAGCAATTCCAGGAGAGTGTCCAGGAGAAAAAACGTCATAATGACAAGAGTACGAGATTAATGAAGTAGCTAAAGTGAGATACAATCCCAAATGATGCTGGATACTACCACCACATCCATTCTTCCCTGTCTCAGGATCTTTGAAGAAACTTGGGGGAGAAAGAGGAGGTTTTCAAAAAAAAAAAAAAATAAAAATAATCCAAACGTTAAAAACACCACACAGTGGAAAGATTACATCAAACCTTATTTACTGCACAAGCTGCAAATGCCAAAGAACACAAGCAACAAGAGTAGGTGTAAAATACAAGTGCTTGGATAGACTCTGTAAGAGATTATTTGGCTGTTTGAGCCAAACCCACTAGGACTTTCTGTGCTTGTGTAAAACCTCTGCAAAGCCATGTGATGCAAATAAGGGAGCTTCAGCTTTGCTGTCAGCTTTATGGCATAACCTTGAGTGCTGTGCAGGGAGTCAAGGGGACATCTGGCTCCCTCAGAGCAAAAGGTAAAACCAGGTTTGAGCTGCAGCTCTCCCCTCTGCTCTAGATCTCCTCAGTCTTGCCCATCCCTGCCACCACCAGTGTTACCCAGCTTCTGGGCTTTAAAAGACTAATCCCATCTTCACAAAGAAACACCTTCCTAGGCAGAAACTATCTTCTCAGAGGTGCCTTCCTCAGGCAGGTGAAGCCTAAAAAGGGGGGGGGGGGGGGAGGTAACATGCTTGCTGACCAGAGCCAGTCAGAAGCATGGATTTTCCCCTGCAGGGAAAAGCCATTTTCCTTTCAGTACGTAGGATGATAAAAAGCCATGCTACAGAGCAAATTTAGGGGCAGGTGCTGCTTAAAATTTTACATTTTCCCAAAATGTAGTGAACTGGCTACTGTCAACTCTGTTGCTCAGGAACTGCCCTCTGGAAGCCAAAGTGAAAGCATGCCCCAGCACAGCAGCCCTCACCGTCATCCTCACTGTGGGCCTGGGAGTCTTTGTCTGAATCAGCCTGAGCAGCCAAAGAAGGGTCCTCACAGCCTGGGACACTTGTTCCAGAAGCTTTAGGCATCTGTATGGGAAATAGCTGCATGTGAAGAAGGATCCTGGATACAGGACACAAGCAGAAAACAAACAAACAAAAAACCCCAGAGAACAAACAACAGACAGATGGGGAGTAACTGTGGGAAGAAGCATTCTAAGAGAGCTCTCCCTCCCTATGTGACACCAAGAATGGAACAGGATCCCAATGGAGACTGAGCAGAGGGGGAAGGAAAGAAGAAAAGGAGGAAGGAAGAAAGGAGATCTGAATGCAGATTTCATGGAGACACAAGAGGTAGGAGACACAAAGGCTTGTCGTTTCATGATCGTCATTGCCAAAGAAAAATCCAGCTGAGGTTTGCTTCATTCAGCATCAGCCTGCTAACTGATGGGCGTCTGTACAACACCAAAGAAAACAGCTCCAAGTACTTCTCAAGAGAGTCTTGACAACAGAGTTGGCCCATCCCGGGACACTGGAGAAAGAGAGCTAACTTTGGAACAAGTTATTGAATTATCAGCACTGATCTGAACTGGATTTTCAAAATAAGCACTGCAGCCAACAGGCTAAACTCACTGGAAAATCTGCGTGCTCAGCTCCAAAGTGCTGTTTACAGCTGCTGACAATCTGGTCCTAGGAGACAGAAAAGCCATCAGCAAAAGGCTACCGCTGGGGCAGTATGAAATTTAGCCAAAAGGTCTGCTTTTTCCATGAGTTAAGCTAATGCCGGAAAGTTTAAAGAACCCTTATCACCTTCATCTCTACTTCATGCGTGAAAACGAGTTATGACCTTCCACCTGCCCACAGCACAGGCAGACTCCCTCTTTCTTTGGTTTTACAATAGTGTTTTCCTACTTTTTGTACTTGTTTTTCTCTCCTCTGTTGTGGGAAAGACCCACGTGGACAAGAGGGGAAATTACTGGACAATAAAGGGGAAACAATGACACTGACAGCACTCAGAGCTGTAAAAAGCACTAAGTAAACACAAAGGAAAAGTATTTTTCCCTTCTACCCTTGTTTGTTGAGCCATTAGAGGTACAACTTATTTTCAGCCAAAGAGGGGAGAAGGCAGTGTTTACAGCTGGTAATAGCACTTGCTTTTTCAATTTGTGTCCCTTTGAAAAGGCACAACCTGAAACAAGCAAACACAAATATTTTGAGAGCCTACACAGAGGAAACAGAAGTTCACATCCACCTCAGTGTACCGGTTTCTGATCACTACACTGGTGTGACTCTAACCTAAGGGTATGCCAAGAGGCTGGGAAAGCAAGCTTGCACTTTAGCCTTTGCTTGGGACTGCTAAATCACACTCAACACCTTAAATGCAGACATACTTCTGTAGTATCCCTGTTGTCCAAGGAAAATCAGAAGTTCAGAGAGTAAGCAGGATCACAAGCCTCACAGTCTTCTGCAGCAACAACAAGACACTCTACTGCAGTCCTAAATATTGCAGAACTAATTGAAAATCATGTGCCATGAGCAGACAGTTGAGGGCTTTCTTGTGCTGGCCTTCATTAACCTAAAGGGAGCTAAATTAACTTCTAGTGCTCTAGGACCTCATACGAGCTTTCTGGAAACCCAAAAGAGCATCAGGTCCTCCTGAGAATCATCTTACTCCCCACTCAACTCTTTCCACTTCAGCACAGTTTTTCATTTCCCAGGTGCATGACCTATTACAGGGAACGCTCTTATGCCACAGCACTTTTCAGGCTCCAGCCACTTCTCATGTCTACCGACGCGATCTTGCTTCCCTGCCTACCAGTTCTAGTTAGGCAAGTGTCTAGGTCTCTAATTAGGCCAGAGATCGGTTGAAGCACTTGCCACTTTCATTAATTTCATTAATTATCCCCCCTATAAATGCTTGCTTACTTAATTGCCCTCTTATCTGCTGGAGTTCTGCTTTTGGAACTAGGTGATCTTAAGGTCCTTTCCAATCTTAAACCATTCTATGATGCACAATAAAATCAAGCACATATACCCAATCCAACAGTCTCCACAACCCATCTCTCCCAGGTTCCAGTTAAGAGATTCCATCCAGTGCAACAGGAATCATGTTTGAAAAACAGTAAATATCGGAGCATCATACAGAGAATAACAAAGCAGTGGCTGTTCGCTTTCATTAATCAAAGCTGCCCTCTCTACATATACAAAGCGTGTTTTCTTTAGGGAACAAAGTCACAATGCACTATGAGGAAACAACAGAGTAAGGAAAAACAACAACAGCTGGCAGAAGCAAAGTGTTTTCTTTCCTGTTGGAAAAGTAAAGCCTCCTGTTTTGCCTTCTGAGTTTAAAAAACAACTTTCCCCCTCAACCAGCAGTGAATCCAGATTCAGCTTACCCTAAGTCCTGGAAGAGGGAGAAGGATAAGCAACATATTTTGAGGAGAAAAAGCTGTCTGGAATAAGGAACAAGGGGAAGCTGTGTGCTCCTACCTCATCCCAGCATCATTTCACCATGTCACAGGATGCAAAAGTGAGACTACCCACTGCAGCAACTCATAGCCTTGCAGAGAAACTGGGAGCTCTAGCACAGAAAGAAGTCTCTGAAAGTGGAGAGGCAACACAACCAGAGGCTCTCTGAAGAGCCTCCTGGGCTCCCTCTTGCTAGGAACACGTTTGCAGCACTTTAACGCATTAACAGAAAACACCAGCCTCTTTCCAGTGAGGAGCAGTGTGAAGAAAAGCAGAAGCTGTCAAACTGAAGATATGACATTCCCAGCAAAAGGCTCTTTAACTCTGTCAACCTCTCCACCTTCACCACTCCAGGACTGACCCAGTTGCAGGAATCTTAATTCTTAAAACCCACACTAAATAGTTTTGCATGAATGCAGCTTGCCACCAGCTAATGCTCACAACAAGGCATTGCTCTTCCACAAGGGGGATCTATTCACTGGAGCATCCTGCTGTAAGAAACCATCAATACCTTTTTGAAGCAGCAACATTCATTTTTGGATGTTTGTAATTTGAACTATATTATGCTGAGACAGATCTATATCGGTGATCCTCAAGGACCTGGATTCAATATAGAAAACTCTTCCTTTGTCAGGCTTAATAAATTTGTTTGAAACACTAAAAAAGGAGAAGAAACATTAAGTCAGATTCCCAAGTGCCTTTCACAGACACCTTCGCTTCCAACCTCTGGATCGCTAGCAGCACCTAGTGGCCACAATAAACATCTTCAGATTGATCATGGAACGAAAACACAGGAAAATCAGTTCTAAACAACGTTTACCATCTTATTTTCTCAATTAGCTCGGATTACAGAAACACCAGCAGTACAAAGATTCTCTCAAATGCTCGTGTTATTTACTTCTGTAATCTAAGGAACAACTCCTGCCTTCATCAACCTGAATTCAGCTCCAAGGGCACTGCAGCTAACCAGACTGCCATCAGCATATGCTCTGCTACAGCAATCCGAGCACAGCAGCAGGAGCCTACATTTTCTACAAGTCTGAGAAACCCAAATGAGTTCCCAGAAGCAGCATACTATGTTCACATGGCATGCAAGAGCATAACCTGGGAGATGGATGCTCACACAGCCTAATAACAACTTTACACAGCAACCCCTAACAAGAGTACCACATCCTGCTAGACCAGTTCAAAGGGAGGAACAGAACAAAACTCAGTGCAACTGAGGACCAATTCCCCCCATCTGCTCCTGTTTTGACATCTTCTCAGGAGGTGGAAAGCAGAGTACGTCTGGGATAACTACAACATCTAAAACAGATTAAAATGTACATTAGATGAAGCAGGCAGCCATTCCCAGCTACTGTAGTGCTTTTTACTACCAAGAAGGAAAAGAAACTGAATCAAAGTGAACATACACATACTTTTATTGCTCACCTTTTATACAACAGCACACCTTCAGCCATTTTCTTTCACAGCTTGACAATGTTTATGTACACAAAAAACCCAGCAAGAAGCATTATGAGGCTTTCAGTAAAGAAAAACAAAACAAAACCAAACAAAACCAAAACAAACCAACCAACCAACCAACATCAGAACACCAAACTCAGCCAGGCTTTGTTTTCTGCAGCAATAATAAAAGGGCTTCCTCCAAGCAGGAACTAATCTTCCTAGGCCGTAGTGCATTTCCTTAAAAGGCAACCCCCAAAACAAATTGCCCTAGATTTGCTAAGCCAGTGGTATTAACTTGCAAATAAAATAAATCTGTCATTTCTTCTAGCTGATTTCAAGTAAAAATTAGGTTTGAAGAGGAGCAACTTGTTTTGGATGGATGCAGGTCAGTTTTAATTGCCACACCTAACTACAGGCCTACACACACTATCGGTTCACAATTTAGCTTAGTTCTAAATGATCTTTGCAGATTTTGGCGGTGGTCAGTCTTCCAAGTTGAGCAGGTGGGAACACGTTGTCTAGCAGGAGATAAGGCTACTGGACATGGCATCCTCAGGAGAGCTCATAGAATAGACAAAAAACCTGTTTGCCAGAGGGAGTTCACTGTCTGTGTGCGCACGTGTGTGTAACATCTTTGTGACTAAAATGAGAGGCCAACAAGCCAGAAAGCCATACTCAGAACTGGTTTTAGAACATCTAATTGCACAGTGATTTGGGGGAAGAATGCATAATTTCTATTGTGTATTATAATACACAATTTGACCAGACAGGTCTTGATATTTTTTTAAATCAAAGCGGAAGGCAAACACAGCAGGTAGTTTCAAAACAAAAGTGTTCTGAGCAGAAGGAACCAGACCAACATCTAAAAAGCATGGCTATTAGTTGATGTTTAGGGTGCAGTGCATAGCGATGATGCACTTAATTCAGACAAATCGGGGGCAGAAGAAGTCTACAAAAAGTGGTACTTTGCTCAGTGCAAAACATCCCATCCAAAGGGTTCTACCTGCCATGGTACCAATCTGTACTACCCAAGCAGTGATTAAGCCAGGCCTCTGAAACCAGGTTTCTATTACATGAGCTCTGCTGAAGTGGAAATTTTTAGCAGCCTCAGCTTGTGAAATGTCTTCCTTGTCCAAAGCCAGACTGATTATACTGATAACCTCCATGCTGGAAATGCTGCTCAAACTGCCCCCCTTGATTAAAGTTCTGCCCACCTCTGCCCCCCCAGCCTCCTCCTTGTCCTCCACGGCCACCACGACCACCACGACCACCCCTCCCTCCTCCACGGCCACCCCCTCGGTCACTGTGGGTCCCACCATCTTGGTATCTGTTGTCTTGCTGGTAACCACCACCACCACCACCCCCTTGGTAGCCACTTCCTGAAGACGACTGGTAGCCACCATAGCCTCCCCCTTGGTAGCCACCACCGCCGCCGCCACCACCACCGTGGTAGCCACCTGTTTGAAAACCTGCATCTCTGTAGTTGCTCTCCCTGTAGCCGCCATCCTGGTAGCCACCACCTCCACCATCTGTCCAACCTCCTTGAAGCTTGTTTCCTCTTCCGCCTCCTCTGCCACCATGATCATAACCACCACGTCCTCCTCGTCCCCCTCGATCATGGCTTCCTTGTTCATGACCTCCTCGTCCTCCATATGATGAGTCATAGCCTCCTCTTCCCCCTCGGTCGTGACTCCCGTGGTCGTAACCTCCTCTTCCCCCTCGGTCGTGACCCCCATGGTCATAACCTCCTCGCCCTCCATATGAGGATTCATAGCCACCTCTTCCTCCTCTGCCACCACCTTGTTGTGGACCAGCCTCTGGTCTTTTCTGCCACGGTGGCATCTCAGGAGGTGGCGGTTCGATTTCATTGGGCCTTCCTCCTCTGTCAGGCACTCTGCCCATTAGCACCTGCAAAGGGAAAGGGAGAACTGCCATAGGAGTTGTAACACCTCACAGGAGAGTCACATTTACACCACAAACAGCTGCCCTCAAGAGTTCTTACATCCAGAAGATTTCATCAAGGCAAACTTTTGTCTGTTTGAATGTGACAGAACTTCGTCTCCAACTAATAAAAACTGAACAGGGATTATCTAGTACACCAAGCACTGCTAACTGGGTGCTTTATGGGAGACTTGGGCTTTTTGATCAAACAGCAGGCACCCCAGCAGAGGCAGCATCAATACAGCCTTGCATTAAACTGTTTATTAGTGCAGACTGCTAACCTCAAACGACCACAAGTACATCACCACCACCGTTTCTTTCCTAACTGGCACTCTCAATTGCTGTAGGAGCCATCAGCTTAGTAAACAAAGTGCAAAGATTCTTATTTTTCAGTAGGGACATGCAAAAACTTACACACCAACAAAGAGGTGTTAGACAGCACTAATCACAGCTGAGCAAGACTCCAGAGGTCTTTAGCTGCCTAAGGGTGCTGTGACATAAAGAGTTTAGCAAGACTTACAATGGGACAGGACATTTGCATTGCCTCAGGTTTTAAAGTGATGCAACAAAATAAGTTCAGTAGAAGCAGGTTACTTTGTTACTGTCTTGGAAAACATTTAATATTGATAATTTGATATTGATTAATATTGAAATGAGTTAATACAGTATGGATCAGCATCAGAGCAGAATTGCATTCCCAGCAATACATACATGCAGTCTGATAATACAGTTACATCTGTCTTCCCACTTAATTTCTTACATTCCACGCTCCAACTACACTAAAAAGGTGCAAAAATTATTTGGGAGGGCTGTGTGTGTGTGAGACCAAATCAGCCCACCACCATTCTATGCTAAATTAATTACAGCTTTACCTGAAATACAGTTGGTACCAAGAAGGCAGAAAAAGCACGCATGTACACTCACAAATTTTAAAGTACTGTGTACACCACTGTGCATAGCTCCTGAGCTTCAAGTTCAGAACATGTGTGTCTGGGATCCTATTACTTGTGTAATCATGATTTCTGAAACAAGTTGCTTAGTCCAAATCATATTCCTACTATGTCAGTACTAAAACTACACACTTGACTATAATCTTTTTTGTGCACACAGAGGAATCTAACTTAAGATCCTTGCTTTGCACTCTTAATACATTCTATTCACATAGACTAGAAACAAGCTTACTATGTAGGTGTTATTTTAGACACAGTGACAGAATTAGGTGGCAGCAGATTAATGAAATAAGCACAGGCCTGCTCCCACTGAAAGTTATCAAAAGATACTGCAGCAATTTCTTACTGCCCCTAAGAGGCACTCTGAACCTAAACAGGTGAAACTGGAGTTCCCATAATGCACAGATGCATAATCTGGAGTACATAAACACCATGTTTCTTATCCTTCATTTCCAATTTTACAATCCTAAAAAAGTAGGTTTTATTACTACATTCAAATTACATAAATATATATAACAGAACAAGCCATTTGTCACCAAAGGTACCTTATTAATGGCACATGCACTCTTCTCTCGGATGGACCCACTGCTTGTTCTCATGATCTTTGACAGATCCTGTCGAGCTGCCAAGAGATTTGCTACGGAAATAGTGCACTTAGTGGATAAGAGGGCACGTTTTGGCTGGTAGACTTTAGCCAGTTTTTCTGTTTGACTCTATCAAAGAGAAGAAAACCAAAACCCAGTCAGTTAAAGCAATAGGAAAGCAATGGGACACCTCACCAAAAGAATCAAATTAACACTGAAGACACTACTGCAAATAGAAACATATATATATATATATAAAAATACCAGTGAAAACCACCACTTTGTAACTACAAATCACAGCAACAAAGCTAGCATTTGTCAAATTCATTTCTTAAGTAACACAGGAAACACTATTCTGACTGAACAGCCAAGACACTGAAGAACTGACAGTTTTAGGATTAACAATATATACATGCAGACTGTGTTACTTTCAGGCAGTCAAACAGAACAGAAGTGTGACATACAGGTATACAGATTACTGATAATGTCTAAAAGATACTGAAAATGAAACATGCCCATGTCCAGCCTCCAGACTTCCTCCTGTGCCTGCACCCTGACCCACACCCATTCCAGTTAGACTAGCATCACCCTATCTCCAACACTGTATCAGCAGGAAAAGGCCATGTTAACTCTTTCACACTCTTCACTGCAGCCAGCTTCTTCACCAGCCAGCAAGCCAGGGAAAGAATAGTAACAGAACTAAAGCTCCCAAGAGCTTGTTCTAATTCAGTCCTTTGTCTTCCACATATACCACCCAAGCTAGAGATGAAATCCTACATATCAGCGTTACTTTGTATGCAATCTCTCTTCCTCTACTGCCTTTTGCTATTAACCATATTGGCTTCTTTGAACACATCAAAAGTGTCACAGCAGTTTTCCAACTGACAGACGCAACAGAAATTTGTGCTACGAGCCATGACGTAATACACGAGTTACATCTATCTTCAGTTATCAACAGTGTATTATGTGTGATGCAGTTAGGATAAACTAGATTACAGTCTGCACACAGATAGAAGGGCTGCTTTTTGTCTGGAACCCAGATGACAAAAGTGGGATCAGGCAAACCAGGTTTTCCAACAATTCCCTTCAAAGGTCAAGAACTTAGGAGCAAATTTTAAAATCCTATTTTCCATCTGAAGGCAGAAAACTGCAACTGGGAAGAACTGAGAGTATGTATTTCCAAGTGTCTCGGTGGCAAGCTTTTAGAGCCAAAAGCTTCTGTTTGTATTACAAATTGAACAGGAAAATATGCATGTCATTTACCTGATGCTGATTAAAGATAGGAGAAGCAACAGTATTCACTAGAGCAGTAGTAAGTTTTCCCTGGGAAGTTTGACTGAGATCTGAGCACAGTATTCTGGTGCTATGGTATTTTTCTTTTCAGTGAAACTTAACATTTCGCAACTTCAAAACCCCTTAATAACAGACTATGAAGTTTTTACTGGTGCTTCTACTATCTGGAGAAGTAACTATTTAGTTATAGTACTGTATTCTGATACTTTTCTGATTTTAAAAGAAAAATATTAAAATTACCATAATGTATTAAAGCTAAAAGCTACTGTTAAAACAAACTCTGCTGCATGTCAGGAATACTAAAGCCATATTCCCCAATATGAGCATGTTATGGTCCTAAAAAACTTAAGACTTGCATTTCAACAGACAGAGACGTGTATATATATAATTTGTGGGCTTTGTGAAAGGATTTCATGCACCTAGTCAACTTCAAAAACATCTCAGAATTCTCCCAGAAAACAAAAACCAAACATGGATGTGGATGCAAAAGCTGTAACATAATCAGAAGTCCCTGGCTTTTAACCTAATCCATACTCCTGCCCAGTTTCACTATTAAAGTATTCAAACAATCAGCCAGTTCTTCAACCTTCTACTAAAAATCCTGAAGAATATAAGGTTTAAGAGACAATACATCAGCAGAAGCCCTACTCAAGAAAAAAATTAGAATGGGGAGATGTCACAGTTTATTATTCAAATACAGCTGCCTTTTGAATAAATCATTTCTTAAGAAAAAACATTTGGTGCCTTGTATGCCACAGTTTATCACTCAGTCTCAAACACTGCTAGCAGCATAATTAACAGCAAGTTAGCAGATCTTAGTCCTAAAAAAAAATACATGCTATTTGTTAAATTTTGTCATGGTAAATGCTTCATCCCTGGCAGTGTTAAGGTCCAGGTTGGACAGAGCCTTGGGCAACACTGTCTAGTGTGAGGTGTCCCTGCCTGTGGCAGGAGGGATGGAACTGGATAACCTTATGGTCCTTTCCAACCATAACCATTCTATGATTCCTTTTTAGAATAGAATCATAGAAACCATTTCACTATGAAATGCAGGAAATAAGGAAACCATATCATTATTTTTAAAAGTGGGATATGCATCACATACTCAAGAGAGAACGGATGTCTTATCACAGCTACTTGCACAGTTCAAAGACAAAAGCAGCACAAAAAATACTACCCTATCTATGAGGTAAGAAAATGCAGTGCCTTAGCAGCTTTTCTCATGTGCATCTGCGGAGCTGCGCAGACACACTTTGAGTTAAGAAACCTGATCACTGTGGACAGCACAAATTAAGTTTAGGGATGGTCAACAGGAAGATGCTTTTCTACCATCACATGGACACAGCACTTAATGATTCACATTACGGTACTCTGAACACAAATGGCTGTATCTCCACTTAACTTTTCCTTTTTCCTAGTGGCCTACTTAGCTGTTACGTGGTGGCTTTGGTGCATAGTTAGATACACATGGTCTATCTTCTCATTTTACATAATGTTTTAAAATCCAACAAAAGAGTTTTAAGTAAAGTCTTTTAGTCAACTTACATCATCACGAAACTTCTTTAGAAACTGAAACCAAAACAAGACAACTCCTGTGGTTATTTTTTACTCATGAAGGATGAAACAATGAGGGACTTTTCCAGAGACACTTATTATAGAGCATTACCACCAACCAGAACTTCATAGTAAGCTGTACCTTAGCTCTATCTGACCAGCCAAAGGACTGCACAGTAACATCCAAACGTTTCACTAACAGTTTTCTTCGGACTTCGTATTCGTTGACTATGGCTTGATTAATTGCTTCAATTTTTTCCTGAAAAAAATAATTTACAAACATAACCTATGGATTACAGATAAAATGTTTCTACTTAAGATAACGAACTATGTGAATGGAAGAGAAAAAGACACACAGAGATATTAAGCAGGGCATAAGTCCGCAATTATCTCCCTTGTCAAGTCAGCTCACAGCAAGCTCTGCCTGCTGACACTATTTTCCTGAGGTCTTCAAAGGCTCTGTTACCCTCACATTCAGCCTTCTACCATTTCTAACAGTACAACTGCCTGTTTTTCAGAAGAGACATAGAAACTGCACACAATACTGAGGCTTTTCTCAACACCTAGCAGAAATGAGAAAACACTACACACAACAAGCTGAAGGAGATGCAAGGACGTAACTAAGTCTAGGGACCAGGGTGTCCTTGCCTTCTTAAAAAGTAGTAAGCTTAAGGACAAAGATAGAGGACCAAAAGTAAAGTAGTGTAAGAGGATCTTGACTAAAGCACAATCTGCATATAGACAACAGTGCCCTTACGGTGAAAAGCCAGCATCAGAAACAAACCTGGTAGCAGAGGGCTGTCTAGCCACAGCTACAGCTGAGATATGCACCATTAAGGAAATAATTTATGTATTGACTGAAGCCTGGCTGGAAGGCAGGGGGCAGGGCCTACTGTCAGCTTCAACTGACTTCAGCCTTAAGCAAGAGACACAGAAGAGACTTGCAGTCTTGCAGCAGTGGCCATAGTTTTGTGTTGGTGGCCAGCCTCTCCCACCCCACCCCAAGTAGCCCACCACCCATCTCCCATTAGCCTCATGACCTAGCTTCCAGGCTGAACACTACACACAGAATCAAGATTAATATTTTATATATCTGAAAAAGGGAAACAGGCTGTAATACCTGCAACTACTTACCCAGTGAGCAGGTCCCAGCTGTTTCTTCAGTAAGGGTTTTCCAACATGATTAGGTGGAACCTTTGCTAGTGTTTCTTTCAGCTGTTAGGAGACATATAAAAATATAAGCATCGGCTAAAACAAAATTACCTTTTGAAGATTCAAATTACAGGGGATGACTCTTGGACAGTCATAAAGCATGACAGAGCAAACTCCAATAAAGTTGTTTTCTCTGGGACAGAGAACCAAGCACCCTTCTTTTGGAAAGCAGCTATTTTTATATTTCTGGTAGTATTGGCTGTAATTATTTAAAAGTTAAGAGAAGGGATGGCAGAGTAGATCTACAGTTAAAACAGAAAGATCCTATGAGGTACAGCTACTCTTGAAGACAGAGGGATTAATCTACACATCGCCTCTCTAGTTCAGAGAAGAAACACACTTGTTTCAAAAAGGTTTGTATTAAGACTATGTGAAATACAACATGATCAAAAGAATCAAAAGGAGAAAATCTTCAATATGAAAATTTTAATTTATCTTGCATCTTGTAAGTTTGGGAACAACTTTGGTTGTCTATTCCCATCTCAGAATTTCTGAGGGTTTCAGGGGAAGATTTCAGGGGGAGTAGCAGTGACAAAAACTTGGATCAAAGCAGGCTGGAGTTATGAAACTTCACTTTTCCACTGATGCAAACCACGTTTTTCAATTTCCTTGGCTGTTCAATCCAGCAGCTGATTTAACAAATTCAGTGAGCTGGTTTTCCAAAGGTACTGAGGCTAATTTGTCTAACTTGAAGATTTTAAAACCACGTGCTTTCAGAATAGCAGAGGTAGCAGTTCATTCAAGTATCAGCAGTTTGGTGTTTTTTAATGGGGTAGACCATTACACAGAGATGCACTCCAAACTGTACTATGTATGTGCAAGGAAAAAGGTATCTTGATTTCCACGATCTAGTTTAGAATACTGCCATTCTAAGACTCAGTTTTTAAAAACACAAACATTTTTGGGTGATCTCTTGTCACAACTATCATCTTACACTCAAGAAGAAAATTTTCACTCTGTTATTTAAGTTTTCATATTTTGCTTAACTTTGTGATATATATTCATTTACAAAGTGCAGTAAGTTCAGTTCTTAGTCAACTTTCCTTCCTCCTTCTCAAATACTACCAACATCTGAACCGTTTGGACTGTAAGCACCAGAGCTATACATAATTCCTAAGAAACTGTGTAGATTAGAAATGTCTAGGTTATTTGTTGGGTTTTTTTAGTATGACCATCTATGGATATAAATCACTGAGATAACATTTAACCTTGTAAGACAATGAAACAGAAAAGTCAGATAGAAAAACATACAGAATTCGCAGATTAAAAATATTTTTACCTGTTTTGTATTCTCTATTTTTAAGTCTCTTTCACCAGCAAAGCCTGCTAGTATTGCTCATTGGTAGGAATATTTTCTACTTTTACAGAAAATGGAAGCACAGATTCTTATGTAGCTAACTGTTTAATGCCCAAGACAATACCAAAACCAGAAAACATACTGCTTCCATTCTACACCTTAAGGCTTTTTCTGGAAAAATACCCTCCAAAAATACTCCAAGAGGTCAATCTAAACTGATTTCTTGCAAGGAAATGAAGCACTATTTTCAGTTGCTTGGATTTGTTTAAATATTCCAACTAAAAGGTTAATCAAAAATCTTCTCTCAAAGTATTTTAGGACACTTTGTAATCACATCTGTCCTTTAAAGTTCACAAAGATTCTTTTCTGCTGTTTTGCCTCCCCTATCCTGCAAGCTAAGCTAGTTAATGTAACTTAAAAAATTCCTTTCGCCCACCTTTGGTCTGTGCACTGGACAGTCCATTCCACTTCATTTCTCTGCTTTATAAAAATTACTCAAACAGAAGAAAATCTCTTAAAAAAAAAAAAAACAAAACCCACAAAAAAACTGAAGAATGCATACATGTAAAGGAACAAAAATAAATGGAACATGAGAACCAATGAAGCCTTATGGAAAAGGTGTAAACTTGCCTTCAGTTACAACACCTTTTAACCTAAACATTTTTTCAAATAGCAGATTCCTGCAAAAATGTCTTAATTTGTGTATTTCTTGGAATACATCTCCCCTTAACATTCTTCCTGAAGCCTAAGCTCAGCATTTTCCATGTCTTCTGCAACAGGTGATGACATTAAAGCCTAGAGCAGAGTAAGAAATACCTCACCCTGGAAGGCAATGATAGCAGTAGTCCCTGACCTCGTGCCTTGGCATGGAAAAAGCCTTTAAACCCATCTTCAAAATCTTGACTCTTGGCATACTCAGTAAACCATGTTAGCTCTCCTTCACAATTCCAACACTCGGGTTTCACAAGAGGCAAATCTTTCTCTGGTAGCAGAACTATTTTCCATCAAAACAGAAACATCATAAATATTCTAGTTTTGTTCCTTTGGATCTTACTTTTTTTTCAATTCCACTGAAGAACTGGAACATCGTTATGTTGGCGGGAGGCTTGGACATGCCTAAAGCAATACATATGCCTTTTAGCTCCTGAAAGACTTCACTGCCACCTCCTTCCTGTGCTTTTTTAGGAGGGGCGTTCACACACAGCATTCTGGCAGCTTCCAGTTCTGAGATGAGGTATGCTGGGGTAAGAAAAATTAGATTTCAGCGTCAGATATAGCCGAGTTAAAGTACTTTAGAACCAGTGAGAACTCAAGTGCTTACAACGAACAAATGTGCAAATGGACCATTTTAGAAAGAGTGAACACTGTTATTCTGGTATCCGCAGAACACTCATATTTGTAATAATCACTGAGCCCAATGCTAGAAACACAACAAACAGGGGAAAGGTTTAGTACAACCAATAAAAGCCTAAAAAAAATTCCCTATGATTCCAACAGGTATTAATCAAGACTTCAGCACAGCACAGCTCTTTTCCTTCAGGCTTTGCCCAGCAAAGACAGGAGACTAGGAACATGGAAATAAGCAGGATGAGGGACTGGGATACATACTTTAAGCCAGACAAGCAAGCACTGCTTGATGCTCTAGGAAACAAGGTAAGGAAATGAGTAGAGAGAAGCGAAATGTTGGATGAATCTCCTCTACTTCCACAGGCAAGATGCAGAATGGAAACCACTTTTAAAAGTACTATTAAGAATTCAGGTTTGTAATAATTCCAGCGTCTTGAACCCAGGACATGCAGAAAGGAAGGCAGTAACTGATGAAACAGAAGCTAGAATGCCTGGAGTGCTCTTCGATATCAGAACTGCAAGAGCCTACAACCACATTATTACTCTTAAACAAACAAAAAATTAAAATCAAGATTTCTGAACATAGTATACACCCAAAATTTCAGCATCAGGTGCTGGCTGCAGTGATATACATTTAGCACACCACTTTCGTTTGTAATTGGCACAACTTTGAAATTTGAATTGAAAAAATAATAATAATAAATGTACAGCTTTAACAATACTTTTATCATGAATCATACTGAGTGACCATAACAGTAAAGTAAATAATTACTAAAAATAAGGACTGATAAAGGTAGACTTGTGAGCAGCGAAGTAAATACAAAAGCAGCTCACTACCTATAAAATTGGGACAGATCAAAAGATGAAGAAAACAACAAAGCATTTTAATGATCTCTAGAATTTTTCCTGGATCTCTACAATAACTTCTACTAAAGACACAGAACACCTTTCAAGTATAAAATTCTTACAATATGTAAAGCTATGAAGAATCTTTTCTAAATTCTGTCAAAGGTACTTTATACACATTTTTCTTATATTAATTTTCAGTTATTTACACCCCATTAGGACCTCCTGAAAAAAGATACTAGCAGCAGAATTTTATACCAAGAATTCAGAGCTCACATTCAAGCTACCACTGTAAGACATAAATGTTCTCCAGACAGTGACCCTTTTTTGCAGATTTTTTCTGAATGCACCTGAAACTCTTGCACTTTTTATTTTGGCAGATGCCAGCACTTAATGTGCAATTCTAGAGCTGCTGCACACCAAGACAATCCTAACTACTTCCATTTATTTGGTGCTTTCCTCTCTGGGCAATACTGCTACATCTTCCAATTGACATAAAGTGCGCTGCATTTCATTAAAATGTAAAATATCCTGGCATACCACTGAAGAGGGTTATTCTGTTTCTCCTTTAAAAGTCTGGATTTATGGCATTATGGAATACTGTCTTGTCTCTGCTTCCTCCCAGAAGAGCATGCCTCCTCTGCCCGTCCTCACTGGCAAAGCATGAGAGACTGAAAAGTCCTTGATAGGGGTAAGCATTACTTAGAAACAACTAAAACGTCTGTGTGTTATCAGCACTGTTCTCAGACTAAAGCCAAAACACAGCATGGTACCAGGTACTAGGAAGAAAAATAGCTGTTACAGCTAAACCCAGGACAGATACTTTTAATTAAGTTAGCTTAATGTAGGTAAAGAAAGATATGCAATTATCATGGTACTCAAAAAAGGAATTTGGAATCTATTTCAATTCAACAGTTGACAATAAACACAGTATTCCTGCCAGATGGGATACCAGAGTTCAGCTGCTGAACATGGCCTTATATTACCAAAACTTACATCACACAGGACCTCTGGGATAAACTATGTGTCGCAGACAAGCCAAATTTCAAATGGCTTGGCTTACAGAGAATAAGCTGGAGCAGATTGTTTGAGCTACAAAGTAATTTAAATTTTTAATTAACTCACTGAATCTGACATTTTTGAGCATACTATCAAAATAAATTCACACTAAGTCTTGACACTCATCTTTCTCCTACTGTTGAAATACAGGAACCTACTCTGGAATTCATTTTTTACATCTCAGCTAGGGCTCAACTAAATTTCTGCTTTGAAAGTTAAAGAATTAGCAGAAACTGAGAAACCAAACAGAACATTCATTTATTTTAAGATCATATTAGAATTAGTATTACAATTTCTAACTCTGACGCTTGTAAAAATTCATTTTTGTTTTGTTTTAATGTAAATCAACGTCACATGCATTTTCCAAATTCAATTATTATTTCTTCTCCTCTAACATTTCCTAAGCAGGAGTAAAACAAATTTAGCTATTGAGATCTTCTGGGTGAAAGAGAAGACGCCACTGCTGCTCCTGCTAATTTCTTAAGAACTGATCAAACGAACTGGCAGTCAGGATAAAACATTCTCTCTTTTTTGCAATGATTCTAATTGTTGTCAGAATGTAGGAAAATGCAAGTCTTATTGCACCTCGCAAGTCCTCACAGTAGGGGCTCCAAAATGATGACGCACGTGATGTTAGCTGTCATTTTTAACACCCTTCTAAACAAAGTTCAGTGGCTAAATCCTTTCAGAAGTCTTCAAATTACTCCCTCTTCAGAGTACCTTTTGAGAAGTAATAGGACAGGCTTTTTGGTAGTGAATGTGAAAAAGGTTCATGCTCACACTGGTTACGAAGTGACTGCTAAGTTTATGAGACCCAGAAGTAGAATATTCTGACACTGTAAATTACAAGGAAAACTAATTCATAATTTTAGGTAACTTTTTATACATTGTGATAAACAAAACAGTATCTTATTAAGTGTAAGAAACAAAACTACGATTCTTCACAAGAAGGGGTTTGCTTACAAGCACCCTTTTAACTTACTAAGCAGCAAGAGACAGTTCTTTTGATTATGAAGGCGTTTTGTCACATCTCCTGATGTTAATGACGTATAGGGACAGTTCATTTCAGCCAGCAACCCACTCATTTCAAGTTGAAATTCTTCTGCTTCATTTGGACCTTAGAAGGAAAGGATAATAAAAAAAAAAAAAGCTCCAGTTGCTCTTTAACATTAAAACCCTGCTTTTAATGGAAGCCAAATGCATTTTTTGTGTTTCTCAAAGACAAAGCACAACCTACTTGGAGCCACAATAACCCTTATTATAGTAAAATTATGTTTCACATGCAGCTTTTCCCAGGTAGAACAGACAGCCACTGACAACTTCTACAACAAAAAGTGACATTAAAAACATCGCAAGTTTTACAGGGGTATTTTAAGTATTAACTAACTCTTCCCACTACAAATGTAGGAAAAAAAAAAACACATAGTAAGCACATAGTTAAGGTAACCAACAATAAAAAGAAAATATGGTTACTGTAGTTACTTCTATCAAAATAAAACCAGAAGCATTGAAATAAAAGTATTCTCATGATCTTATTAGAAAAAGACGCTAATGTTCCCTTAAACCTATCCAAGAAATTTAAAGTCTCCATGGTTGAACAACTGAAAGAAAAAGCTAACTTCAGAAGAAAGACTGACTGATCCTCACTAGTATTTCACCCTCTACTGGCTGTTCATTAAGCAAGTCTGAGGTGGAAAATATCCAAAGTCTGACAGCATGCAGATAATACTCCCCAGTATAACAGATGAAGCAATTGTCAGCCCAAATCTTTATGGCATGCAACAACACACATTAATTGCATGTTTGTGCTACAGTTATAGCTACTTACTGTTAGTTGCCTGCACATTTTCCTCTAGTTTACAGAATAGCCGTAACTCAGATACCAACCAAGCACAGAGTTTGGTAAATTCAGGGGAGTTGGCTCCATGAGACACTGCCTGAGCCAGTGCTCCATCATCTAACAATGGACCTTTGTAACTGAAAAGTAAAACAAAAGCACAGTTTAGTAATGTTTGCTATGACAGATGTCCTGTGATACGTTTACTTTATGCTGTGTACATACTGAGAGCTAAACGCTCTCCACATCCACAAGACTGAACATCTAAACTGTAAGGTTCCTACACAGCAAAAAACATACTGAAAACATCTGCGTAAACTCAGCATTTCCATGCACATTAGCTTACTGCCAAAAGGACTGCGTCACAAAAGATTATCAAAGCTTTCATCCTGGAGAATGTTATGACATACAGTGACAACTTCTCCGCCTGTGTCTCTTGTTACTTACTGTATACCTATCTAGGGCAAAAAAAGTTCCAAAGTATCATTCTTGAGCACTGCTTTACAGTAAGTTGAATGATTGCTGCTGAACTAGTGCATCTTTTCTGTTGTTTCCTAGCATATATTCAAGGGTTGCCATGCAAAGCTAAGCCTTCAATATAAATGTTACACAAGTAATCTGAAAAAACAATATCCTCTTTTGAAAAATTCTCTTATTAAATGGGCACAAGAAGAATACATAGATTTACTTATTTGCATAAACAAAATAAGCAAAAAATCAGGCCTAGTGTAAAAAAAGCGTAAGTCTAAAGATCAGGTTTCGGAAGACAGTTTTCAGGACATCTGTGTCTCCGCCCCCTGAAACTCTGTCAGGGGAAGGAGGAAGAGTAGGAAGAAGACTGCCTTGTTAACCAGGTAGAAGCACAAAATCAGAGTTTATCAGAGTATTCAAGAAAAATGCACAGTATTATTTCGGTATACTGCACCCAACCAGAAAGACATCCAGGAGTGAGCATAACTGACCAAAATACCTCTTTCAAACTTCCTGGTAAAGTCACCCACTGTGTCACAGCAACACAGCAAGTCCAGTCAACTCCTGGCAAACCTCTGACGTAAAGGAGTCTCTCACAGAGCAAATGAAAATGTTATTCTCTACACTTCATTCTTGTGCTTCACATCATTGTAACAGCCTCCTACTTCATCTAATGAAGTAGCCACACTCAAAAATAACTTTTATCTCACAATGCAGCTCAATTAGCAACACTAAGTTAACCTAGTAGCAGCTACTGGAAGCTGTAATCTGGTGTATGACAACCCTCCTACATTACCACAGTACATTAGACAATTCCAACAGGCTAACTACAACAAGTCCTGTCCCACAGATGTTTCAGACCTACATATATAGGAACCTCTGGGACTCAGAACAGAAACAGGCAGTTACAGATCAAAGTAGAAGGGAAGTGATGACAAACTTTTTGCTTTGGCAAGATTTAAGTCACTGGTCACATCAGAAATCCCTTTTCTAGAACTCTTCTTTGACAGATATGACATCTTGACTGTGTTATCTCTGATAATTTTAACTTCACTTACACATCTACTTGCCCAGTAATCCAATTTGTGGATTGCCAACTGTTTCTTTTTCCTTCCATTCCTGTCAATGGCACATGTTCTAGAGCTACACTCCTTCTGGTGACATTATGCTGTCCACTTTGTTTGCTTTTTTTCAACAGACCGACTTACAAGACAATAGGCTGCTATTTGCACAGCTCAAAATTCAAAAAAGAAATGATGTGCAATGCTACTGAAAAAATTAATCAAGTAACACATTAGAGATATCTTCAGTATCTGGTTAGAAAAAATAAACTGAACTATGAAGGATCATGGAACTTCCGGCAAAGCTTGAAACTTCAAACACCCCAGTCTTTCCAGACACAAGGAAACAAATCATGTAGTCACATGCAGTAATTTTCCCTGTTGTTATCAGTACTGTGGAAGCCCCATGTCTTTTGTCCTCCAAATTTTCTTTTCAACCACTGTTGCCAATCTTGGTATTTTTTAATCTGCTTTCATTTTTCACTTTATTTATGTCAAAAATCAGCAACACTTTCTGTCTGTAATTACACAGATGAGCACAAATCACAACTCCTTCAAGCCACTAGTATCCTTCTAAACATAAGGCAGAAAAAAGAAGCCAAGCATGGTATATGCATCATGGCAGAGACCTTTTCATATTTCAGTCAGAGAAATATCTGCTAAAGCAGAAACCAATTTGTGAAGTTTTGGAACGATCATCACCAACTTAGCCAGGAAATAGAATCTTTTCTGGAGTGTGACGACTCTAGCCACAAAGTGAGTTATGGGAACGTAGCCAGTGTGTATAAATACAACTGTCTGCATAGAACCAGCAGCAGTAAAATTGCCTCTTGTCTGAACTCTCAACAGTTTATAAAGACATGCAAGCTTACTGCATGACACGTTATTCTTGCTCTCCCTTTCATATTTATATAACCTTTACTGACTCTGACAGAGTAATAGGTTTAAACAAAACACAGAAGTTTCCTGTGCTGCATTATATTTAAAAATATAATATTATACACTAGAATTTGTTTCCTTTCCCCCCCATCTATTATTTTTCATTAAATATGAAGCCTAAAAATTTTTTCTTTCCTTCTGGCTTCTCGTAAAAGGCTTTCTCCCTTCCCCACCCCCGGCTAGGGCAGCTCTGTGGATCAGAGGTGCTACCGATGAGACGGCACCACAAGAAATCAGGAGATCAGCACGCACTGAGATGTAAAACGCTTGTAAAGGCCGATACGGTTGAAAACCTGTCTGTTGCACTTGGTGCTTCTCCAGAGCCCAGCCGGCACCGACACCAGCCCAACCGTGGGGCGGCACCGCAGCTCTGAGTAACAGGGACCATGCCGGGGGGCCAAGGCCCTCCGCGGAGACACGGGCCCCACCTGTCTGGGGCGCACGGCCATAGCCACGAGCCCGCACCGAAGCGCCCTCCTGCCTCCCAGGCCACACCGGCAGCCCGCGGACGCCATGGCCCCGATAAAGGCAACCAAGCGCACACCCTTCCCCCATCGCTGACCCCGTGACGGGGCGTCGCTCGGCCCCAGGCACCTACCCCAGGTCCTCCAGCGACTCCAGAACGTCGCTCTCCAGAAGCTCGACCTCCATCCTGCGGCGGGGCACGGGGGGCGAACCTGCGCGACAGCGGGACTCAGCTCCCCGGTACGGGCAGACCCGGCACCCTCCGCTCCCCTCCCCAGCCCCACACCCCGGCCCCGCTGGGGGTCAGCAGCCCACCCCCGCCCTGCGCGGGGCCCCTATGCCGCGCCGCCAGCCCCGGTTCCACGTACGCGGCTCACACGCTGCTGCGCCGCCGACTGCCGGGTTGGCATGTCAGGGCGGGGAGGGGAGGGAGAAGCAGGTCCCCGGCCTGACCCTTCACCCGGCTGTTCTCGGACCGCCCATCGCCGTGCCTGATGGGAGCCACCTCCTCCCGTGAAGGTGTCCGCTTACCCGCCCAGCCAGGCAGCGTTGCTAAATGGAGACACGGGTGCAAGGACGGACGCCAGGTTGTTTCTGCGGCACAGGAGCCCTGAGGATCTCAGTCTTTTGTTCAGGCGCCACCTGAGACAGGCCCAAAGGAAGGACCCTCCTCCCTTCCTTGGAACCCACGCCGGAATGTGCCGTGTCGAGCAGCGTCGCGGGGACGGGCGGAGGGGGACGGGGCGGCGGAAGGGTCAAACTGCTGCAGTGAGCGAGCGCTTCCCCAGCCGGGAGGACCCCACTCCACCGCCGGGACCACAAGTCCCAGCATGCCATGCGCAGGGCAGGGCCCCTCGCGGCCGCCGTAGGGAAGCGGGGGCTTGTGCCAGATGTGGTGGGAAATAGAACTCGGAGGTGAAAATCACTGCTTCCGCGGTCTCGTTCCTCCCTGGGGGCGGGTCTGTGGATGACGGACTGTCCCTGAGGTGGATGGGGCTGCAGGGGCAGAGCACCGTCGAGGCAGTGCTGGTTGTACCAGGGCTTGGTGCAGAGGGTGGAGCTCCTCAAGGCATTGCTCTGGCCGCTGTTTTAAAACCCATTTTTAACTTTGGGGGCAGGGGAGGAGTGTGACGCCGTTCAGTTCTTTCGGTTGCTCACTTGCCATGGGTAAAGAGGCATCATTACGTGACAAGTGCAAGGTCCTACACCTGGGTAGGAGCAGTCCCAGGCGGAGATACAGGCTGGGCAGAGGAGACATTCAGAGCAGCCCTGCAGAGAAGGACTTGGGGGTGTTGGTCGATGAGAAAATGAACATGAGCCGGCTTCAGTGTGCGCTTACAGCCCAGAAAGCCAACCATATCCTGGGCTGCATCAAAAGGAGCAGGTCGAAGGAGGTGATCCTGCCCCTCTGCTCTCGTGAGACCTCACCTGGAGTATTGTGTGCAGTTCTGGTGTCCTCAACCAGAAAAGGGCATGGAACTGTTGGAACAAGTGCAGAGGAGGGCCATGAGGATGATCAGGGGACTGGAGCACCTCCTGTATGAAGACAGGCTGAGAAAGTTGGGGCTGTTCAGCCTGGAGAGGAGAACGCTGCGTGGAGGCCTCATAGCAGCCTTCCAGTATCTGAAGGGGGCCTATAGGGATGCTGGGGATGGACTCTTCATTAGGGACTGTAGTGATAGGACAAGAGGCAATGGGTTAAACTTAAACAGGGGAAGTTTAGATTGGATATAAGGAGGGAATTCTTTCCTGTTAGGGTGGTGAAGCACTGGAATAGGTTGCCCAGGGAGGTTGTGAATGCTCCATCCCTGGCAGTGTTCAAGGCCAGGTTGGACGAGGCCTTGGGTGATATGGTTTAGTGTGAGGTGTCCCTGACCATGGCAGGGGGGTTGGAACTAGGTGATCTTAAGGTCCTTTCCAACCCTAACTATTCTATGATTCTATGATCATTAATAATGGAATATTAATTTAGGGGATAATTTGGCTTATTCTGTCCAGTTCTCTTCAGGCAGCACTGCTGCACTGTCTGATACGCAGAAGTTGTGCCGAAAGCACATCGGTACTGAAAAGGGAGCATGGATTAGAGAGCAGAGTATGTTGTAATGGCAAGGACATGACAGGGAAAGCCAGATATAACCACAGTCTGTGCCCAGCAGTGAGCTGATGCTTCAGCAGAGGAGTCCTGGCTGCCTGTACTTCCTGAAATTGCCCTTGTCAGGCATTAAGAAGAAAAGCTGTGGGCAAATAAGGAGTGAATCTTGGAGCCTCAAGATAGGTAAGAGGCAAGGATTTTGTGCTGATTTCATGGAAACATTTGCTGTAATCTCCTGCATTTACTGCAGGTAAACTCTATATTGGCGGATTATTCAGATAAGCACAGACACATGAGAAGGGTTGTATTCGTCTTGGTGTTTAGCTAACGACATCTGTCTTTTGCTTATTTCTCTCTTTGATTCAGTTGTGGCAATACTGCAGGGTAGGGACAGGACAGAAGGCTTCCTCTCCACTCTGTATCACTGTTCCACAACTGCCTTATTTTCCTGTCTGTGCTGGGGGAATCAGTGATTTCTTGAAAACCATACAGATCCTGTGGTTGGAGAGATGAATAGTTGGAGGTGTGATGCTACACTGGAGCAGGCAGCTACACTTACCCCTAAGGACAGGGAAGAGAGCTTTGCTTTGTTTTTCTGTGTCTTGTCAGTTGTGATTTATTTTTTTCCCCCCAAGCTACATAAGCTTTTTCACTACCCACATTTTGGAGGCATGGGAGGTGAGAATGGCAACTGCACAGCACCCTGGACCCTGTAGAAGAAATTGACTTCGGTAGTGCATGGTTAGTTTTTGTTTTGCATACAAGATCTTCTCAAACAAACAAACTAATCTTGTCCCGAGAAGTTTGCTGTTGTGCAATGAGACCCATGGCTTTGCAGAACAGTTACTTCTGGGAGTAGCAGCAACTCAGGCTGTCAGCTTGCACCAGGGCTCTAACTGGGATAGCTGATTTACAGGGACTACCTAAGGCTCTGCAGAAGACTTGTCAAGCTGCAGAACTGAGCTCAGCTCTCCTCATGTTTGTTCTCTCCTTGGCTCCTTCCCTCCCCACCTTCACTCACAGGGAGCTGTAGCTCTGGGACTCCACATGGTCCTCAGGCAGCTTCACTGCAGCATCCTGGCTGGAGCTGCACATAACTCCCTACAATGCATCAGCACTGAAAAAGCAATGTAATGCTAACTTCCTCTATGGTAAGAACAAAACCAGCCTAGGCTGCTGCTGTCCTCCCCATTAGAGTCCTGTAAACCCCTTCCAGCCCCTTAGTCCTGGAGGGATGTGGATATGTATGGTGGATCTTGGTCAGGTGCTCTCAGCCTGCGACATACAAGTTAAGGGAGTTGGCAGCCTTTGCATGGCCTGTGGCTGTGCAGAGGCCAGAAATACTTATTCTGAGAGGTGTGAGGTGCTCCATTGGTCTGATACCGGTTGTCATTTAACAAAGACAATTGGTTTTCTATGTGTTTGCCTTTTGATTGATTGGTTTTGGTGTCTGGGATGATGTGAGCTCTGACTGAAGACAAAGGACTTCCTCCTGAGCAGATGCTGCTGTTTTGAAATAGACAAACCTTGTCAAGACATAACAATAAACTGCTGATACTGGTGTTTTGAAATAGATAAACATTGCATACAGACTCAATGCACCGCTTATGCTAGCGGTTTTAATGCCAAAATGGATACTTTAAAGCCTGGTGACCCATGTATGATCTTGTGCAATTGTCTGCAAGTATTTTAGGAAACCCTACCAACTGTGCCCTGTGCTCTGGTCAAGCCCTGGTCTCAGCTGGTCAGGGGGTGTACCACCAGGTGTTTCCACACAAAAGAATACACAAGTCACTCTGACTTGCTGATTTGGGTCTTTAAAAAGCTGGACCCTCTTGCAGCAACTTTGGAGACCTCATCTACAAGTGGACGCACTGCGTAGAACTTCCCAATTGCTGGGGTAGGATCCCAAAATCCTCACTGCAACAGGGGCTCCTCAGCAGCTGCGGATCTGGGTGGTGGTAACATATTTAGGCAATCGGTGATGTATCTTAATCACTGTTCTCTTTCTCGTGTAGTAATGATTAGGTGCATTACCTTGCTTATCTTTTTTGTTGCTTAAACCTGGAGCATAGTAAGCTGATTTTACTAAACATATCATTTCTGCATTACCTTAATAGTAAAAGAAGACCATTTTTTTCCCTTGGTGACTGTGTCCTTTCTGGTGCTCCCATGAATTAGTAAAACAGAAAGAGGCAGGAAAGCATAAGTGTGCAGCTGCTCCATGACCTCCACATTTGGCTGTGCTGTGGTGCCTGGCCAGCACTCTCAGTGCAGACAACTGTGAGATCATGAGAACCTGCATGACTCCACGAGTTAATAATTAAGAGATCTGGCATAAAGCCGGCTGTGTTTCTAGGAATATAACAGCGGGAGCCTCTTGTAGCCAAATCTGAAGCCTCACCTGCGGGTGGGCACACCCTGTAGGAATTTTCACACTTACCTGAGACTCCGGCATTGGCTGCAACAGGGCTTCCCATCTTGAAGTGTGGGCCTGGATGATGCAGATTGAGTAGTATTTGGTGATGTATTTCTTCTTAGTCACTGTTCTCTCTATACTTTAATGATTTGATGCATTGCTGATTTTCCTCTGTGCTATACACATATATATATGTTATTCTCTTTATTGTACTTGTTTAGCATATATAGAGAGACATAAACCTGATTCGTGTTAGTGTGTTTAGTTGCTTTAGTGTGCTTGTTTGCTTTAGTGCACTTGTTTAATAAACTGTGCATGTTATAAGACTAGTGTGTGATCATTTTGTTGAGTCCCCTGCCTATTTGCTAAACAAGTTTGGGGTAGTTGGCAGGATATGAAACAAAATGGCATTTTTTAAGATAAAGACAAATGTTGCTGAGACAAGTGCAGAACTGGATATTCAAGGCTGGGAACAATTACCTTATAGCATTTTGGCTGCTGAGTGGTCGTGTCATGATTTATGTGAGACCTGGGACCCTGTTTGAAAGAGGCAGAACCCGCTGATGTAGTGAAATGTTTACAAAAGGTTTCAGTAGTTCAAAAGGAAAGGAAGTGAATGCTCTGGGGAGACGAGAGTGAATTCTGCCGGCTGCATATCGAAAGCAGCATCAGCAGAGGGAGCAAGTGTGTAAGGAAAAGATTCATTTGGTGCTTCTCCAAATGCGAAGTGCGGGGGGGAAAATAGTTACGTTGCAGTACCAGAATCATAGAATCATAGAATAGTTAGGGTTGGAAAGGACCTTAAGATCATCAAGTTCCAACCCCCCTGCCATGGGCAGGGACACCTCGCTCTAAACCATATTACCCAAGGCCTCGTCCAACCTGGCCTTGAACACTGCCACGGATGGAGCATTCACAACCTCCCTGGGCAACC